ATCCTGCCATCACATTGATCCTCCTAAAATGCCACCTTTCATATATCACTCCCCTCTGTGGATCCTTATTTACTTTTAATCCCCCTCATCACTTGCATTCAAAGGCCTCCGCAAGTTGGCTAGACTTATCTCTTATTCAACTCACAACTATTACCTTTGCAAAGCCAGTCTATGCACTGTCCCTCATAGACACTAGATTTATATGTGCTGTTCCTCTTTTGCTCATGCTATTTCCAGTATCTATCAGAATGCATATTGCAACTGCAATGTCTAGTGGCCTATTCACAGCACATCGTCCTTTAGATCCCATCTGAAATTTCTCTTTTCCACAATGCCATATTTGCTAATTAGCTTATTGTGGCCATCTACAATAATTAATTTTTATGCTAGAAATTCTGACATTTGCTATATTGAAGAAAATATAGCAAATTTAATCTCATTAGAAAATTTAACTCATAACTTAGATGTGAAGATAAAGTGAAATTTTCAAATTTTGCTTGTGGCAAAAATAGAATTTCTCCTGAGTTCCTACTTACTGGTTATCTGAGGGAAAATTATAAACGAATTAATACAATCAAAGCTTGGTCCAACACTATCATATAAATAATCTTTTAGGTAACGATCTATCTAGCTTGCATAAAAATGCTCAATTTATTCTATAGTCTCCATATCTTGGCCTGTCTTCCTGAGTTGTTCACATGCTTTATGTTTGCTCATGGTTTTAGGAGGGGAAGAGGAGTCCTGTCTTCAGGATGGCCCATGAATGGGTGCTGGTTGTCACCTGTCGATGCCTCCTCCTCTTCCTCCTCCTCCTTCTTTTTCCTCCTCCTCTTCCTCCTTCTTTTTCCTTTGCACTTCCCAGGCTGGCTACCCCCTCATGACATACATATTTCTTCTTTAGATATAATAATTACCTCTCTCAGGTGACAGTCAAGGCTTGCTGATCTAGGATCTCTTCATTCCTTATTAAATCTGTTTAATTGACTTTATAAATTAACTCTTAGATAACAATTTTATTTCTTTCATTTCAAAATTCTACTGTAAGTCCACAAATAACAAAAACACACATGCTGTTTCAATGTATTTCCTGCATGTAGATGCTACAGCTCCAATAAGATAACAAGCTCACTGAGGGCCAGTGACTGATTATATTCTTTTGTGTTCGCCACATCATCTAACCTAGGGCAAGGCCCATAAAATATATTTAATAAAATAAGTGTTGTCTTGAACTTAATTTATATGAAAAAATGCTTCTTGGGAAAGGAAAGCAGAGGAATGTTTGGCATTCAAGCTTCCTAAATATCAACTGGACTATTTAAGACGTAAGCATCCTTAGATTATCTTGAGCCAGGGCTTGGGACCCAGCTGAACCAGACTAGGCATGCTTGGTGTTGACAGTGGAAGAATGCAAGGTAGATGAAAGCACTTAATATAATTAGTCAATGTCCCCAAGATTACTAGAAAGCAGTATCATAGAATGGAATGCTTGCTAATTTTGGAAATCAGTTCTGGCTTTATCATATCCTAGTTGTGTGTCTTTGGGCTAGTGACTAAAGACTTTCTAGATCACAGTTTTCTCCATTTATGAAGCTAGGATAATGACAATCCTGACCAAAGGTGGTGGTGGAAAGAGAATGTCAATGAAAATCCCTGGTAAACTAGAAAGCATTATCCAGATACAAGGCTGTCTTAAGGGACCATCATTTGCTAGGAACAGAAGCCCACTCAAGTTAGCTCAAGAAAATGGAATTCACTGGATGAAATGGTGGGTATTTAATGGAATTTAAGTACAAGCTGGTCTTGAAGGCCTGGACCCAGGAATCAGAAAGGGAGGAACCCCGGTTACTCATTCCCCCTATTGAAATGCATGATTTCTCATCTTTCCTTCTCCCTTTATGTCTAATTTATTTTCTCTGCTGTGGAAACTGGATTGCTTTGCTTCAATATGCATCTCATTTAAAAAAGAAAAAGAAAAAAAGTCATTCCAGGCACGGATTGATATAGCTTCTCAGCTCTAGTCTGCAAACTGGCAAATTAAAACTTCTGTTGCAATTCTAAATTCCTGGCAAAGATTGACCTGATGTGGATAAGGTGTTTGCCTCTGGATAACCGGCTTCGTCCAAGGCAGCTGGGTCACACATACAAACTTGGCCACCCTTTCAGAAAGGGCCAAGGCTTGGTTGGTATCCCAGACTATTTCCTGCAAAGGCACTCTTAATTTTGTGACACTTCCTTGGTGTATAGAGCTTAAGGCAAGCAAGAGTTAGACGGCTGACATGTTCTGTTGACAGTGGGCCCTGCCCACATCAGTGAGTCTAATGCAAGGAAGTTGTTTGCTTATATTCTCTTACTTTGATTTCAAAGAGTCATATATGGAGAAAATGGGCCATGGCCGGGTGAAGAGGAGGTGATGTAATTTTATCACTGATGATCATCCCTATGGCTGGATTGAGGACACAGTCCTTATTCCAACAAAGAGGGGTGATCCAATTTCAGTCTTCTTCACTTGGACTGTTGCTTCTATAGGTGTGGTCCAGGTTAAGGTTTAATCTCGTTAAGACAATGAAAATGTGGATGCAATATACGATTCACAACAAAACATTACAACTTATCCCAAAGGAAAGTTTATTTATTTATTATATCTATTCATAACCTACTTCTGAAAAGGATTTGAGGCAGTTTATAAAAGCCAAAATCATAAACACAGTAAAATACAAAAGTCAAGTAGTAAAAAGGGGAGGAACAGAAGAAATTATATTTTTAAATGCTGGCTAAATAAATTATTAATAGTCATTTGGGGAAAAGATAGTTTTTTTCTCCATACGTTAAAATAAATTCCAAATATACCAAAGAGTTAAATAAGATTGCTGAATTATAAAGGAATTAGAAAGATACATTTAAATATTTATCTGTTCTCAGGGTGGGAAAAGCCTTTCTAAGCCCACTAATAAAGGAAGAAACCTTAAAGGGAAATATTAATAGAATTGACTGCATAAAAACTTAGTTTCTTGGCTTCTTAAAACATCAAAAACAAAACTAAATGGGGAAAAGATTTTTGACAAAAATGACAAAGAGTTAATAACTTCACTAGGCACAAATCTGTTAAAAATAATAAAAAAAATTCAGTAAATAAATGAATAAAGGACATAAAACAAGAATTAAAAAAAATTTGTTGTGCTTCTGGTGGAAGTTTACAGCACAAATTAGTTTCTCATTCAAAAATTTATACACAAATCGTTTAGTGACATTGGTTGCAATCCCCACAATGTGTCTGCACTCTCCTCCGTTCCCTTTACACCCCGGGTTCCCCATGTCCATTTGTCCAGTTTTTCTGTCCCTTCCTGCCTTCTCTTCTTTGCTTTTGGGCAGGTATTGCCCATTTGGTTTCATGTACTTGACTGAACACACGTTCCTCCTATGTGTTATTGTAAAATATGGAAGTTTTGAAGAATTAATATCACCAATATGTGTGAAAGGATATTAAAGCTAAATAATAAAAAATAAATGCAGCCATTGACTTGGTATATGTTTTGCTGTGTATATTCTCGACAACAAAATAAATAAAATAAAAAATGCAAAATAAAATGGCAAAATTCTATTTAACACTTATGATTGGCAAACGTTTTAGAAAATTAAATATCCAGACTTGGCAGAGATATTGAGAAAATGGCACTCATATTATCAACCTGATAATAATACTGCCTTTCTGGAGGGCAATTGGCAACATTTTGAAAAGCCCATAACACCTGCATATCCTTTGACTCAGAAATTTTATTTCCAGAAACTCATCTTGGGAAATCACTGATGATTTGTGTAAAGATTTAGGTATAAGGATCTTTGTTATTTATTCTTCTTTTTTTCAAATAGAAATTATTTCCCAAAGTTCTTACAATGAGCATTTATTACTTCAACAATAAGGAAAAGTACATTAAAATAATATATTGTCTTTTATGTATCTATTTTCTTTAATTAGGAATTTTGTATGCCAAAAGTAGATTCTGAACCATAAAGTAACATTTTTGTCATCTGGCAGCTTTAATCCTTTGGAAATATCTGGTGGGAGGAATCAGTAATTTAGTAAAAAGACCCCCTGAGCCATCAAGACTTACACAAACACTTTTTGTACTATTATTATGAGAGCTCTCAAGGGCTTTTACTCAGAATTCATTTGCTCTTGTTTTAGACAGAATCTGAACCAGCTAGATTATCTGCTTTCTGTCCTACAGCCAACTGGAGGCAGGTACTTGGTACCAGAAAGGATAGCGGGAGGGTTCTGACAACAGGGAAAAAAGGCAGATGGATTGTTTAGACAATAAAGAAACAGACACACATTTTCACAAAGCACAGCAGCGTTGGACCATGTAGAGTAGAAGTGGAGTCCCTGGTTAGTGCAAACAGTTAACAGTCGTGGCTGCTAACTGAAAGGTTGGAGGTTTGGTTCCACCCAGAGGCACCTTGGAAGAAAGCCTTGGGATTTACTTCTGAAGAAATCAGCCATTGAAAACCCTACGGAGCACAGTTCTACTCTGACACATATGGGATCACCATGAGTCAGAATCAACTCCATGCCAACTGTTGACGTAAAGTAGGGGCAAATAATCCTTCACCTTGAAATCCTTAGGAACACCTGAGTCACCTGGAAAAAAAATTCAAAGCATTCAGTTTTCAAAAGGAAGGGAATGCAGTTGAAAATTTATATCCAAGATGGCTAAAATAGAGCAAAATTTGGCACCTAAATATGGTAAGCTTTAGTTATCTGGAAAAAATACCTGGGTGGAAGAGCGATCAGAATAGATGAGGTAACCCTCTGTGTAAGTCATCACTGTGGAGGTCCCAGTGGAATTGCACAGCCATAGAGTTGGCCTTGAATTCAAAGAAACATGTAGGAATGAGAGAGGCAAGTAGGATCTGGTCCTGTGGGATTCTGGTAAACTCCTTCAGCCTTCCTTAGGCTCATCTCACTGGGTGATGTGTGTGTGGTCCTTTTTCTCTGCCCCCAGGACTGCCCTCCAGACGCTGAGGACTTCAGAGCCCAGCAGTGCTCTGCCTACAATGATGTCCAGTATCAGGGGCGCTATTATGAATGGCTTCCAAGATATAATGATTCTACTGCCCCTTGCGCACTCAAGTGTCATGCACGGGGACAAAACTTGGTAGTGGAGCTGGCCCCCAAGGTACTGGATGGGACTCGTTGCAACGCAGATTCCCTGGACATGTGTATCAGTGGCATCTGTCAGGTAAGCCACACCTGCTTCCCGTGACCCTGGTTCAAGGACTGCCATTCCCATTCTCAATAAAGAAAATCATTTTCTTCTAGACTTTTGCTCACAATAATGAAATATTGTCTTTGATAATTTTAATATAAAAAAAATTTTAGAGGATGCTATAAGACTTTATAAATCATGCTTTACTTATTTAAAATAGTGTAAATTTTATCTGGGTCCCTGGGTGGGGTAAATGATTTGCACTCGGCGGGTAATCATAAGGTTGGTAGTTGGAACTCACCTGGTGGAAATGCAGAAGAAAGGCCTGGTGATCTGCTTCTGTACAGATCACAGCCAAGAAAATTATATGGTGCAGTTCTACTCTGTAACACATAGGGTCACCATGAGCTGGAATGGACTCGACGGCAATGAGTACAGGTAAATTTCACCTGTGTCAAATCAAAAGATTACAATACATGATTTCTTGCAGTTCCTTTAGACCACTGATTCTACAACTTGAAAGTGCATTAGAGCCACCTGGAAGGCTTGTTAAAACAGAGTTCTGGGCCTAAGCCCCAAAGTTTCTGATTCAGTAGGTCTGAGGTAAGGTCAAAAATTGCATTTCTAACAAGTTCCCAGCTTTCGCTGATGCTGCTGGTCCATTGCTCTGAAAGGGTAATACTGATAGGTTCTCTGAGATTTCATTATTAAATTTAATTCAGTTTTGGGTCTTTGGGAAAGAATACTGACTTATTTCCTGAAAAGTTAGTATGAATACATCCCAGCAGATTTTTCAGAGTGCATTTATAGAGCTGTAGTGAGTATGAATGAGGCATAAATCCCAGTGGCTTGTAACAGGTGTGGCCCATTCAGAGGTATTATGACAGCTGCTGAAGAGTATGGGCATGGGAGGGAAAGAATAGGATTGCACTTCCGCTCTCTGGGATAACTAGTCTATTCTGTCCTATAGGGTCCCTATGAGTCAGAATTGACTTGACAACAACAGGTTTGGTTTTTTGGTTTTTCCACTCTTTCCATCTCTGAAAAATATTTTAAATAACAAATACTCTATTATTCTACCTACCCTATTTTTATATTCATAACAAAAACAGCAGTAACTATAGAAAATAAATAACCTAACCACCTGCTAAGGGCCAGGAACTACTAGGCATCTCAAACTTAACACGCTTAAAAAGTAAACCTTGATCTTGCACCTCAAACCAGTTTCTCCTTTCATCACTATTTTGGTAAATGGTCAGTTGTTTGCCTGATCCCTGTGGAATCATTCTTGATTCTTCTCTCTCTACCCATATATCACATCTATTGCCAAATTCTCTCAGTTCTTCCTCCAAAGCTTATTTTGAATCCACGACGTCTTTCCATCTCCACTGACTTCTAGTCTAAGCCCCATCACCTCTTGCCTACACTACGTTTATAGCCTCCTGTTCTGTTCTCCCAGCTTCCACCATTGTCCCCTGAAACCCATTCCCCACACAGCAACCAAAGTGGTTGTCTTAAAATATAAGTCAGAGCTTGTCACTCCACATGTCAGAACCCCTCAATGGCTTTTTGTGGCGGTGATCGTGAAATTCAGAATCTTTGCCTGCCTTTCCAGGCTCTTCCTGCACTCTTCTGTCTTGGCACTGCTTTTCCATGTCTGCCAAAGTGCCAGGCTCTTCCCTGCCTCGAAGCCCTTACACATGCTGTCTCTGCTTCCTTCTACTCATGCTCCTGGCTACCCTTACTCATCTTTAAGCGATCAGTTTCACATCATTTCCTTAAGAGGGTTTCTGTGATTTCTCTACCTAAATTAGGTCTCCTGGTTCTATTATAATACCCTTCTATTGTGCTTATGGAGCCCTAGTGGTGCAGTGGTTAAGAGCTTGGCTGCTAACCAAAAGATCAGTGGTTGGAATCCACCAGCCGCTCCTTGGAAATCCTATGGGCAGTTCTACTCTACAGGGTCGCTATGAGTTGGATAGACTCCACAGCAATGGGTTTGGTTTTATTGTGCTTATAACATTTTATAATTGCATATTTGTGTGATTATTTAATTTATGGCTGTCTCCCACAACAGCTTGTAAATTCTCTGAGGGCTGGAATCATGTGTGTGTTTCTCATTGCCACATCCCAGCACCTCTACAGTGCCTGGCCCCGTAGATACTCTGCAGCAAATACTGGCTGAACAAATGAATCTTATCTACCTGCAGATACAGAGGCTATTCAGTTCTCTTGGCTCTTATTTTCCTCACAACCTCTAGTTCTGAATTTTCAAAGGTAGGCTTAGTGTCCCTTTTAGGAGATCCCACAAATTATTCCAATTCAGCATGTCTTCTAAATAAACTGATACCATCTTTCCCAGATCCACTCCTTCTTCTACCTGTGATTCCTATTCATTTCTGTTTGTGGCACCACAGTTTTCAATCTCACCTTCCTGAAACCACATCATAGTCACTTGAGTCTATTTGCTCATGTGTCCTCTATATCCAGGTCCCTTTATCATGTCTTTCACATTTTACTCTTCTTTTCCCTCTCACTGCCACCTTTCACCCCAAGACTAGACTAGCCAACCTCTCCAAGCTCCCTAACCAATTGCTCTTCCTTTCTCTCCTACACTTGCACCATCTTATTTGACACACGCTATTGACTAATATTCCCCAAGTTCAAAGCTTATAACTCCATTTTCCTACTTCACATACTGTCAATGGTTTCCCTTTATATCCACCAATTTACTTTTAGGCTCTTCCACTAAATGTTATCAGTAGTTATTGCTTATCAGTAGTATTATGCCTTTTTTTTAAACAAGTTTTTGATAGTGAGCATTTATAATTAAATGAAAACATAATTGTCATTAAAAGAAATTTATTCTGGGGGTCAAAGAGAGCACCCTGGACAAGGTAATACTTCGACATTGAGATTTTGAAAAGTTGAGTAGGAGTTAGTTAAACAAAGATGAGGAAGGGAATCATGAGCAGAAGGAATAGGACGGTGAAGGCATTAATAGCAGGGTGTGTTTGAGGATCTATAACTCTTTCTGTAGGGTTGAGGTGAAAAATACCTGTGGGACAATGACAGAAGGTGAGGTTAGAGGTATAGGTGGAATAAAACCAAAGACCAGTTGCCATCCAGTTGACTCTGACTCATGGCAACTCCATGTGTGTCAGAGTAGACCTGTGTTCCAAGGGTTTTCAATGGCAGATTCTTCTGAGGTGACGCTAGGTGGACTTGAACCTCTAAAGTTTCATTTAATAGCTGAGCGTGTTAACCGTTTGCACCACCCAGGGACTCCTTGAGGCAGGTAGGAAGGAGGAAATGTAGACCACTGATAAGTTTGTAAGGGAATGGAGAGGAAGGCGAGATATTGTTCGATGGGCTCAATTTTGTGAAATAGAAAACAATAAGCGGGGAGAAGTTTGAGGAGAAAAGAGAAATTTTAAGATGATCTAAGGATAACTGGGTTGACAAAAGATGGTTAGAGGACAGTTCCTCAGGAACCAGAGGAAGCAGAAAAGCATTGCCTGTGGCACAATCGTTCTGTGACAGATCACTTATGGCTGAGGTCGTGGACCTGATGGGTGGCCTTCTGTGATGAATGGAGGTGGTGGGCTGTGGTTGGGACTACTGGACTTTAGATTTAGAGAGAGTGGCATTCAGTTCCCATTTTTACAACTGATTGGTTGAAGACCACTTGGCAACACCCTTACCATCTTTGAGGCTTGGTCTTTTTAATATGTTGTTTCTAGCTGCCTCTGAGTCAACCCCTGACTGATGGTAACTCCATGCACAACGAAATGAAACACTGCCCAGTCCTACACCATCCCCATGATCAGTTGCGGATCGGACCGTTGTGATTCTGCGAGTTTTCACTGGCTGATTTTCAGAAGTAGATCGCCAAACCTTTCTTCCTAGTCCATCATAGTCTGGAAGCTCACAGCAACACGAAAGCCTCCACTGGCAGATGGGTGGTGGCTGTGCATGAGGTAGTTTGGCGGGAAATCAAACCTAGGTCTCTGGCATGGAAGGTGAGAATTCTACCACCGAACCACCAATGCCTCTTTCAATATGTAGAAAGGAGATATTGTCCTGCTTGTTGATCTTGTTCAAATTCATTCATTCGCAAAGAACATGCCAAGTGCCCAGCACAGTAGCTGTCACCCAGAGGCATCCACTCAACACTAGTTCCCTTTCCCTGGTTTCTCCTTGTGCTCACAGCCAACTGCCTCCTCCTCTTATTCATTGCTTAAGTCCGGTTGCATAGTTTGCTCCAGTAGCTTCCAGGGACTAAGGGGCTTGCAGGATAAAAGTGATTTTCAGTGCTGAACGAGTCTGTTTTAAATGAGTGCTTCACATTACATTTCTGTGATTCTAATGGGTAAGCCAGGTTCTTTGGGCAGTAATGTGTGATACCCTGATTGCTGAAAGCTGAATGCTTTTTTGGCCAGCCTATTTGAGTAAAAGAACTGCATGCACTTCCTCAGGAATGACTCAGATGCTTCTCAGTTGAATTTAGTATCTTCCCATCAGCAGGATAATGTTGACATAAATTCACTCTGTTTGTACACTGCAGTCGTGCACATCAGCAGTTGTTAGGGTGAGAGAAAGCAAACTGTATGATCTCTCCACTGGCCTCAGGATCAATGGACTGAGCCCTGAGATTTACTTGGCACAGACTACAAATAATTTTTGCAAGTGTGTTTACAATTTGATCATTTAAATAAATACATCCCAGTGCTCCTGGGGACAACTCTCTATTAGCCTGAGCACAGCAGAGAGCATGAGAAGATTACGTTCACTGAGGGAAATTCGCTCCTGCTGCTGTTTGGAGTTCGCATTTTTATCAGATGTAGGACCCGGTTGGAACCAGGGCTGCAGAACAGGTCTGATTTATCATCAGGGATGGATTATCCAATAGGCAAGGTAAGCACAGTGTTACCTTGCTTACCAGATCATCTGAATTTGTTCACTACAGATTAGTAAATAAGCACAAGTAAGCCCGTGCTTACCCTGCTTACTGGGTCATCCGCCCCGTCAGT